TGAAGCCGCGATTATTTTAATCGCGGCTTCATTTCCCTCTGCCGATCTGGCTAATCTACATGCCTCCGTCGAAGGAGGCATGTAGTCTAGACACACCCCAAGGGTAAAGGCCTTAGCAAACCAAGTCTCTCATGGGAAGTTTCCCAAGTGATGTTGTAATGGGAGTGGAATGCTGGCTGAGTTATCACCATGGTCTTAAGCAGGTGCTTCTAAATACTCATCCAACAGCCATTTCACTGCTTATCCTAACTGAAGCAGTAATAAAACCTTCGTTAACACTGTCTCTAGTAACCAAGGTATCACCTGGTCTCTATGGCAGAGCCACAAACTTGTAGCAAACAAACTTCAGAAGATCAAAGTAAATCAGTTTTTCACAAGCCATCTGAAAGCTTATACTTATCAGTTACCAAACCCCAAACTTTCTATGTTCTTTGGGCCTTATTCTGCTCTCTCTTACACTGACGTAAGTCAGGAGTAATTCTAATGGAATCTCACTGGTACAAAACTGGAAATACGAGCCCTTCAGGTTGCCATCTGAGCTGCTAATCTGATAGAACAAACTTTCCTGAACCTTCTCTTATCAATGGATGCAGAAATACCAGGAAAACAGTTTTTTGTGCACTATTTTGGCATGGACTCTTCTTTTTCCAAAAGAGCCCAGCTATGTAAATTATCCAGGTCTTTTTGAGCTTCAGGTTGAGGCTTGAATGAAGAATCTGTTTGTACCCAAACTAGTTTATCCATATCTGCTCCAAACTAAACAAGAAGAGCTAATAAAATAATCCTAAAGCCCACTGGCAGCTACTGTTACATCACGTGCTTGTGCAATATAGTCAGCCATGTTACAATACATACTTTACATGTTTAAAGCACACAAAAATGCAGATTGTTAAAATAAAATAAATGCTTAAGAAAAATGTTTAATGAGTAGCCAGGCAGAGAACAGGGAGACAAAACCAAGGCAAATAGAAGAGAATGTGAGAGAAGACATGCACTATCAAAAGAATTCTCTCTCAAGGTTCTGTCCAGGGCATAGCTGTGTAACCTGTGCCCATAGCAATCCTCAATAACCTAACCAAGTCCTTTTTACTCTCACTCCTTCAGTTCTGGCAGTATGGGGAGTGGGTGGATGTTGTGGTTGATGACAAGCTCCCTACCAAAAATGGAGAGCTGCTCTTCGTTCACTCAGCAGAAGGGAGCGAGTTTTGGAGTGCCCTGCTGGAGAAGGCCTATGCCAAGTAAGTAATTAGCCAGTTTTTAAAGTGAAAGAGACTTCATCCTTTCTGCTTCCCCTTTTGACCACCTCATATCTGGTGGAGAATCTGTCTTATAGCAGAAATTATATGGAGATGGTGTCAATGTAATTAGTCTTCTAAAAATTCTGGAATGCCTATCTCAGATGGTGTCAACTGATTGTGTATGGTATGTTTGTGACAGATACTACAGGCTATTGAAAATGCTAATGTTTGTGGCTTCTTCTGAGACCAAACCTTTTCTTTCTACCTTGTCTCTTGCCTCTACTAATGGGAACCTTACTTTGAATTTGCAGGGCCAGATCTTCAACTGCAGTGGAACTCAGTTTACTTATACCAGCTAAGAATCAGGGTCACAATTTTCCAAGTTATGAAAGCCACATTATCCATATCACAAGCAGGTCGCAACTGAATACCAGTTGCACTGCCTTGTTACCCCTGCAGACCTCTGGGTAACACATGGTAGTCCACTGTGTATAAATCTCTGATTCATGGTGAAAACACCCAACTTTGATGTTCCAGTCTCAGGAAAGAATTCTTGCCTCTACTAATGGGAATCTTACTTTGAATTTGCAGGGCCAGATCTTCAACTTCAGTGGAACTCGGCTTACTTATACCAGCTAAGAGTCAGGGTCACAGTTTTTAATAGACTCTGAGGTTTAGTTTCTGTATCAAACCTGGGAGTAGAGGGAGCATGTGTTTAGTTTCATACAGTCTTGAGTATTTGTCATAGCATGTTTGGGCGTATCAACCCATATGCATGACATACAGCATGTAGATTCTTATGTTGGGCTTTCTTGCCAGGAAGAGATAGGAAAGATGGAGACAGACAAGACAAATCTTCAGCTGGTGTAAATTGTAATAGCTACATTGAAATCAGTAGAACTCCATTGACTTCAGCTTAACTATGACAGTTTATACCAGGTGGGGAGCTGCCTCAAAGAAAAGAGAAGTAAATGTCCTAATGCCCCTTTGTGCAGGGTAAATGGCTCATACGAGGCACTGTCTGGTGGAAGCACCACTGAAGGCTTTGAGGATTTCACCGGTGGAATTGCAGAATGGTATGAGCTGCAAAAGGCACCAGCTGACCTATTCAAAATCATCCAGAAAGCTCTTCTAAAAGGCTCCCTTCTTGGATGCTCTATTGATGTAAGTCCAGCTCTCTGCCAAACTGTCAAGATCCTTCTCAGCAGTAGATTGGTAGTAATCTGTATATTGCTATGCTTGGTTACTATACAGTCCTAGGAATGTTCTACTCGTGCTGCTAGTTTGGGAAGGCCAGCTGTCCTCTATTTCATAACTAGAGGATTTGGCATAGAAGTATAAGGGGCAACATAACCATTTAGGGGTTAGGTTACAGAATAGGCAAAAATCCGCTATTATTGATCAGTAATTTAGTGTCCTAGAAGAGCCAGAGATCTTTTCTTCTGGAGTTAGAAGGATAAATTATGAACTCTTCTGATATTCCCAGATTCCATGGGAATTAGATTTAATGCATTGTGTACCACATCTGTGCTTTCCAATGTGCATCAGAGTCCTGAACAGGTTAAATAAATCCCTCGGATTTGGCAAGAAGGTATTCCAAGCCCTGGATTTTGGGAAAGAAGAAATTTCTGAATACTTAGTCAAGGATCCCAGCATATTGCCCAGCATAATTATTGCTGCAGAAATTGTTCCCAAGTGTTACATGAAATCCAGGCTGAAACAAAGAAGCTAGATACATTGGCATGATTTCAGACAGATTTAATAAAATATGCCCACTTCAAAATCTCAGTCACCATGGTTTGTATTTTATCTGCATATAAACAAAAGAAAGAGCCTCAGTGCTGTCTAAAACTCAAATTCCTAAGTAATACAAACAAAGAATGAAGGAAATAGACCAGGAAAATGAAAAGACCTAAAGAAAGGAGCTTTAAGCCAAAAATGTATCTTTAGTACTACAGATTGATTAAGATTTAGAACATATAAAGCACTGTATGCCTACTAAGTATTGTTGATTTGGTGACAGTCAACTGTCCTAGGGATCATGGATTTTTTTTTAAGTGAGAGGGTAAATAGTTTTAAAACCTCCATTCACAATATAAACCCAAATATTTCCTCCAAATTTCAGTTAAATCAAAGACTATAAGAGAAGAGGGTAACTTTATAATGGGAAAAGTAGTTTGCTAATCATGGAGAACTTCCTTACTCAGGATTTCCCTGCATTTTCTCGGGTTTGTTTTTCTAGCATGCAGTTTAATAAGCATCCGACATCTGGATTTCTACACTAGAATGATCCAGGTTTTCTAATGTCCTAATGGGAATAGTAATAGAGATGTAGCCGTGTTAGTCTGGTCTTGAAGAGAAGTTTTGAAAAGTAGCACTTGGACCCCTGCTCATTGAGATGGCAGAACTGGAAGAACCAAGGTAGTGCAATTTGCCACACAATAATCATCCTCCCTCAAAAGCTGTTTATATTTGCACACAACCTGTGTGGTCTTAAAAGGAAGTAGGTGCAAATCTCCCATTTTTATTTTTAAGGTAGATTATCTAGCATGTGCTACAGGTTCCATGAAACCTGGATTCTGGGTTCTCATCCATGCTCTCTCACCAATTTGCTGTGTGATCTTGGGCATATTGTTTGGCATCAGTTTTCTCCTCTGTAACATATAGCTAATACTTCCCTACCTTGCAGGGATTTCTGATGTTGAACCAATTAAAATATTTATTAAATATTCTCTAGTACCTTTCAGTAAAGGAACTCAGTACAGGCAGTCCCCGAGTTACGTGGATCCGACTTATGTCGGATCCGCAGTTACGAACGGGGCCCTCCCTCTCCCTGGTCTCTAGCAGACCAGGGAGAGGAAGCAAAGCCGCGGAGCACACGGGCAGCGGACAGCCCAGACACGTCTGGGCTGTCCACTGCCCGCGTGCTCCGCCGCTTTGCTTCCTCTCCCTGGTCTGCTAGAGACCAGGGAGAGGGAGGGCCCCGTTCGTAACTGCGGATCCGACATAAGTCGGATCCACGTAACTCGGGGACTGCCTGTACTGAGTTCCTTTACTGAAAGGTACTAGAGAATATTTAATAAATATTTTAATTGGTTCAACATCAGAAATCCCTGCAAGGTAGGGAAGTATTAGCTATATGTTACAGAGGAGAAAACTGATGCCAAACAATATGCCCAAGATCACACAGCAAATTGGTGAGAGAGCATGGATGAGAACCCAGAATCCAGGTTTCATGGAACCTGTAGCACATGCTAGATAATCTACCTTAAAAATAAAAATGGGAGATTTGCACCTACTTCCTTTTAAGACCACACAGGTTGTGTGCAAATATAAACAGCTTTTGAGGGAGGATGATTATTGTGTGGCAAATTGCACTACCTTGGTTCTTCCAGTTCTGCCATCTCAATGAGCAGGGGTCCAAGTGCTACTTTTCAAAACCTGCATTACTTACACCAAATTGCACTGCAGTGTGTGTCTGTAATATTTATGGTGTGTACAATGAACTGTGACACTGAAGCAAGTCAGTGGCTATTCAAGCCTTTTATGTTTGTCCCTCTGCATGCCTGTGGCCATGGAAACTCCTTGGGCACATCTGGAAGTAAACTTCTGTCCTACAAAAACAGAAGTCTCTCAGATCTCAAGGAGAATGTCTGTTAGATGTCCAGTGCATGATACAAAGCTGAGTTTAGATTGCATTCACTAGAGCACCCTGGGGCACAAACATTCTAAGCTCTGGTCAGCAGCTTCACTATTACTCCAAAGGAGTCTTATGAAAGCTGTAACTTGTGTCCTCAGATCTGCAGGCAGCTAAGCACCACTGAATTGCTTTGTGTTTCCAGATCACAAGTGCCGCTGAGACGGAGGCAGTCACTTCCCAGAAGCTGGTCAAAGGCCACGCATACTCCGTTACAGGAGCTGAAGAGGTAACCTCACATCATCCACCGCTTGTATTTGCTGGGTGTCCTGCTTGCTTGTGTCACAGTCACAGTTCACGGTTGTTGGTTGTTGTTTTTTAACTTTTTGGGGCAGTTGAATGTTGTCTGTCAAAACTGGGTTTTAACAGACAATTGGATTTCAATGTGTGACAATTTTCACAAACCTGTCTGCTCTCTATGGCAACTTTCACCTTTTCACTGGAAAAAAATAAAAAACTTTTCAGCTGAAAACAAAAAGTTTTGGCTTTGTAGAGAAACATTTTCCATCCTTTCCCTCCTATTTTCTGACCATCTCTACCTTTGCAGGGAGAGGCTATGGTCTGAAAACTGTTGACTCCACTGCCCTCTTGTGGTTAAAATTACCTCACAGATATTTACAGGATGCAAAACTTTTATTAACATTGCTTATTACTAATTGAATGCTCTTTTTTATTAAGGAAAAAACCAATGTTCAGTGCATAAAACTGGGCACAGGGAGTTAAGTTGTTAAGCCCTCTCTGCTTTTGAAGCTATTAGCCATTCTGCATTGATCTGTTGCTCTGTGGGCATCATTCACACAATACACAGAGCCTCACATAGAACCTCAGTGGTACTGAATACAAACAGCTTGGGGGAAGACAGGCACTTTCCAATGAAGTGTCAACAGGCTTGTGGGGAGACGGCACTTTCCCCTAGTAACACAGGAGACCTTTACCTCACGCAGTATGCCTGTGCTTTAGATTCACTGGGACTCTGCCTTTGGAAATGTATGTTTTGAAAATGGTATCATTCTAGATTGTGCTATTGCCACTTTATAATCTCGGGGTCTGACAAACTGGCAATGCTCAGAGCTCCCAAGGGGCAATCCCAGCCCAGCACACTGTACTGTGAGTGATTATTACTGTGCTCTGAGTAATGAGGCAGTTCAGAGAGCAGCAGGATTGCCATAGGAGAGAGAGAGGAATGCATACACAGGGGAACGTACTCCTCTCCAGGAATAGCTGCCCACTGGGAGGGACTGATGATCTCACTGTGTGAAAGATGTTTATCTGTGTAATAGAAGGTGAATTGCCAAGCTCAGTAAAGGAAAGATGGGAGAGGATATAGGAGAAGCAGACAGATTATGGAAACATAGGGGGTCTTTCCATTGATTTTCAGTGGAGAGCAGGCCCCTATTAATTACTCCTGAAATGTTCCTGCCCCTCAAATGAAAGTGTTCTCACACCCTGGCATGCTCCATCCAGGCTGATGAAGCAAAAGGGGACTGGCAGCATGCGGGATTGCAGCTAGCCTTCAACTGTTGGCTCTCTCCTTCCCAGTGATGGGAGTTGGGGGAATTCATCTGTTCCTGACTCAGGGTATGTTTACACTACAGCACTAATTCGAACTAACTTAATTCAAATTAGTTAATTCGAACTAAGCTAATTTGAACTAGTGCATCTAGACCTAAAAACTAGTTCGAATTAGCATTTTGCTAATTTGAACTAGCATGTCCACATTGAGTGGACCCTGAACCAAGATTAAGGCTGGCCAGAAGCAGTGCCGGCAGGGCACCAGGTTAGGACTTCCAGCGTGGAGCTGCTGTCTCAGGCTAGCCGAGGGCTGCGCTTAAAGGGACCCAACCCCCACCCTGGACAGACAGTTCTCAGGGGTTCCCCGCTCGCTTGTCTAACTCGATGAGGGACTGCAAAGCAGTCCTGTCTTGGAGTGCCCTGAATGCCCACACTCGGCACATCACAGCACTTGGCCATCAGCCTGGCTGCACTT